AGATAGATAGATAGATAGATAGATAGATAGATAGATAGATAGATAGACAGATAGATGGATAGATTTTTAGAAAGAAATATACACGTACATTGGGAGCTGAATACTTGCCCAGGTATATAAGTTTAAATTCTGGGTCCCAAAGTTAAACTTCTAAGCAGGGAAAGTAATTTCATCCTGCTACCCTGGAAACATCCTCACTCTACAACCTGGTGATGGCAGAGAAAGCTTCCTCTTTTTTTATGGGTACTCCCATGTGGTCATTGATGTTTCCCTTTTGATCATTTGCCCAGACTTTCTTGCTATGGCCAGGGCCATTCCAGAGGAGAAGTAGGAGAGATCACTGTGTGGGGTGTGTTATGTATAGGGGCAGGGGCAGGGGTGAGGGGGAAACCTGAGCCAACCAATCTGTGGGTCCCTTATCCAAAACATTTTTAGATGGGCGGAGTCACTGAACTTAGGGTCAGAAGAACTGAGTTTCAGTCATCGGTCTGACATTTTCCGGCAATATAACCTTGGGGCAAGTTAACTAACCATGCGTAGAATGAAGGGGGCATACCTGACAATTCTATGAATATCAAAGGCAATGGTAATAGAGGAAAATGGGAAAGAATGGAAGGAAGTTGAGGCTTGGTTCTGATGACAAGGATGTTATGACTGATTGTACATGATGATTGAAAGGCACTTTTGTGGAAGGAATGAATATCACAAGGACTTAACACCAGGAAGATTTGAGTTCAAATCGTCCTGTTTGACACTTGCTAAATGTGTTCTCGTGGCCAAGTCTCTTAACTTCTCCAAGACTCAGTTTTCTCATTTGTACAAAAAAAAATTGTAAAATAATAATACCTTGCTTTCAGGGCTGTTGAGAGGCTTACAATATAATATATGTAAAACTTTAAAGTACCATAAAAATGTCAGTTATTAATTATCATTAATTATGATATATAATCTAATATATAATATATTATTAATTATGAGCTATAATTATTATTAATTATTAAGGGGTTGCTTTATTATCACCAGCTGTGAAATTGCCCCCCTCTTCTCCACTGCCTCCACAAACCACCTCCATTTCCAACAGAATGGAAGGAAGCTCCTCGAAGGACGAGGTCAGGGCAATCACTCTGACCTGGGCATTCTGCTGGCTTTTTTTGTCCCGCGTTCACTCACTTTGAGCCTCTTCCCACAATCCTCCTGGCCGTGGAATGCACAGCAACCACTCTTCTTCAGATTCAACAATGAGACAGAAGGAAAAATCATCTGCCAACAGGAAGATAACCAGGGTGAGTATGGACCTCAGGAAAGGAGCTTGGGTGTCCCCTTTGCCATCTACATTCAAGAGTCCCGTCCCATGATGGAGCATAAGGGCTGAAAGGAGTTATGGGATTCCAAAGGATATGGGAATGACTTTTGCAAAACAATGGGTGCTCATAATTGGTTCGTGCTATAGGTACAGCTAAAAAAGAATATTGTTCTTTTCAAAGTCATGGTACAGCTATGGATATGGGAATTGCGGTTAACAATCTATATTTATGCATAAGTAATACACAACATAAGAGCAAGTGATTGTTTCGGTGGTTTGGAAGCACCTGAAGGCTGGACTTCAAACCATGTCCTTCCACTCAGCCCATCATCCCCATTTCTCTTTTTTTTTTTCTTTTTGGTAAGGCAATCAGGGTTAAGTGACTTTCCCAGGGTCATACAGCTAGTAAATGTCAAATGTCTGAGTCCAGATTTGAACTCAGGTCCTCCTGACTCCAGGGCCAGTGCTCTATCCACTGCGCCACCTAGCTGCCCCCATCATCCTCATTTTTCCCCCCACTAGAAACTTGAACTCCACTCTGGGAACCGCTTGATCGGTGAGCGATCTTACCTAGAACCAGTAGGCTTCCACCTCACTTCCTGGTCACCAGCTCCATGCTACCAGTTTTCTCCCTCCCCTTTCCACCCTTTATGTCTGGTCTTCCCCCTTTAGAATGTATGCTCTTCATAGGCAGAGACTGTCTGGTAGTTGTATACTCAGTGATTAGCACAGTGCATGGCATGTAATAGGTACCTAACAAATGTTATCTATCAATCCCACTATCATCTATCTATCCAATTATCTATCAGAAATAACATTGTTTTTTTCCAAAGATATTATGTTATGGTAAAATAATAATGCAGCCTATAATTAGGCTGATGGGAGCCAGATGTGACTGAAGGAGAAGGAGGAGGAGGGAGCACGGAAGTTACCCATATTAATTCTTTCAAGGAGTGCATAATTACACCAAAGTCACCGGCCTGGGATGGTTTCTGTTAACAACCGAACATATCCCCAAATCAATTCACAGCCTTAAAGCGAAAACAATGCTAATAAGACCAAAGAGGGCAGAAGCCAGTCCAACATGCCCTGAAAAGGGGAAATACACTGGGGGAGAAGGAATTGCACTGAGTTTTTAGGAGCTTTTTACTCACCAAGATTCCACATCCTAATATTCCTCCAAAGTACCAGACCTCTTCAGATAGATTTAGATTGTTATCTATTCTGTCAGCTCCAGGAAAGAAGAGTAGAATGTTTGCCAGGGTGCCCAACACGGCCAGAGGGATGAGGGTGCCCCCCAGGCACTTTGCACAGTCCATAGGACGCATCCTCCTGATGAAAAGATAAACAAAGGAAATTAATGTAGAAGAGTGGTCAGTCACCCTCCACCCACTCCCAACAGTGTCTCTTCAGAGGTCCTAAGCCAGAACTTCTAAATTTTCTTCTCAAATGCCATCTTAAAGGGATATTTCAGTCTCCCAAATTCAGAAAGAGTCCCTCAAGCTACTTACCTGCTCTCCTGATTGTGGTAGGTTTTTTTTCATGGCCCCTCCATAAATGAGGTTATGTGTAGGGCAATCATTTCACCATGGAGACTGATAAAATCTGTTAATATTCCACCAGCAGAAAGGCAGGCATACAAATATGCTGTTGGTGGAGCTGTGAATTGGTCAAATCGTTCTAGAAATTGACTTGGAATTATGCTAAAAATGATTCAAGTATTCCTAATCCTTGACTGGAGATCCCTGCTAGGCATATATCTCTCTTTTTTTTAATTTTATTTTTCTTTATTAATTGTTTTTATTTGTCAATAATAGACACATATCTCAAAGACAAAAAGAAAGGTCCTAAGTACACAAAATACTCATGGCCATAGTGCTTTGAGGCAGCAAAGCACTAGAAACAATGGAGATGCCCATTAATTGAGGAATGCCTAAACATATTGTGGCACATAAATAGAACAGAATATTAATGTGAATATGAAGAATTCAGCAAAGCAAGTATTCTAGAACTGGGAAAACAAGACATACAATGAAAACGTTCACAAAAAGCAAAAAATAAAAGGAGCTGAATGCTATATAATCATACTATTGGAGCTTAGCCCCAAAGAAGAGATAAGAGGATCCCTTATTTACAGAAGTCAGGGCTACAGAGATGGAATACTACATAGACTGTTGGGCTTGAGTGATGTTTCTTTTTCTTTCGTTCCTTTTTTCTTTTGTGTCATAAGGGATGACCCTTTGAGGAAGGGATAAGGGAGGATACAAGCAAAACTAAAGGGTTGTAAGAACAAAATATAATTTTTTCAAAGAATAAAGCAAGGATGTACTTCTAATCATTTAAAGTTACATGTTTCTTCCTAAGAGAATAAGAAATTTTATTTTAAAAAGTACAATAAATAATAAAGATTATATAATATAATATATAAGTTGAATTGAAATGCAGGGGTGGGGAATCTCTAGGCTACATGTGGTCCTCTAATTCCTCAAGTGCGGCCCTTTGACTGAATCCAAACTTCACAGAACAAAACCCCTTAATAAAAGGGTTTGTTCTGTAAAACCTGGACTCAGTCAAAAGGCCACACCCAAGGACCTAGAAGGCCACATGTGGCCTCAAGGCTGCAGGTTCCCGACCCCTGAATTAGCCATGGCTTCCAGGCTGCTGAAAGGATGCATGTATAAATGTTTTTGTGCCCTCTAAATTTCAATGACCTATGATAAAGCCTTTACCAACTCACCTTAGCTATGAGGCTTCCCAGCATCAGCATAAAAATGGTATCCAATCACAAAAGAGCTCTTTGCCAGAGTTATTTGTTGATAGAAAGAAAGATGAAAGGTGAGGAGGATATAGCCATATTCTCATGTGGCAACCACCAGGGCATCTTCTTTTTCTAAGACCAATCACAGTAAGATGGAGCCTCCATCCCTAAGTTTCATGGCATCTTCCAGTTTATTGAGCAATTGCCTGAAGAGAAGATTTTAATAAAGAAACCCAGGGGTGATAGAAAACCCATCTTCTTACCTGATTATACTCAAATACTCTTTGAGCTGGGGTTGAGGTGAGATTTGCCTAGGGTCACTTAGCAAAGAATTGTGAGGAGTAGAATTTGAATCTGAGTCTTTCCCAGTATTCACTACACCACACCAGGTCAACTTGACAAAGGCTTAAAGATATCTTTGTATCCCAAATAGAATGGTCAGGGTTTTCAGAATTTTAGATTCCCTTTTAAAATTGTATTCAGAAGAAAAAAAAAAAAACAACCACAAAAGCTAAAAGCTTACTTAAAACTTGAACTTTAAAAACTTAAAACTTTAACTTAAAAGTTAAAAGTTAACACAGATTTTAAAAACAATATTGACTGGAGATTAAATTGATATAAAATTTAAGATACAGCCATACTGGGATTGTATGGTCTATAGCTGGAATGGTTATTAGAAACCTGCTTAATCTTACTGTCAGTAAATGTTAAGACACTTAGTAATGGAACTATGTAGAGCCTTCTAAATTATATATTATTTTCATTAAATTAATATGAAAAAATAAAATGAAATGTTGATTTTCAAAAGACTTATGTGATGTTTCGTATTAAGGAAAGTTGATCAATTTTTTTTTTCTCCCATCCATAAATAATTGTTCTTTCCATCCCTTAGCCTAAGGTTCCTGGGAAAGTCCATGGTACCATGGTGATAGCCAGGAGGATTTAGTGGCCTGCAAGCTACATATGAATCAATAGTATGAGAAGGCAGATAAGAAACCTAATCTGATAAAGCTTCATTAAGAGTAGGATAGTTTCCAGGAAGTAGGTGAGTCCCTCATTTTTGTGTTCAGCTCTGGCTGCCATGTTGAAGGAGGGATGTTAAGAAGCTAGAAAGTGTTCAGATGAGGGTCACCCAGATGGTTGTGTGAGGAAACTGGGGTTTTTTAACCTGGAGAAGAGAAGCTTGGAGGGGGTAGGGGCAGGGGGCAGGTGATCGCAAAGGGGAGGTAGCTTTCTGCTTTCAATATTTAGGCTGTCACTTGTAAGACTCATGAATCTGGATTGTTCTTTTGGCTCCAGAAAGCAGTCAGGAGGAACGATGCATCAAAATTGCCAAGAGGCAAATTTGAACTGATGTAAAAGGGAAAAAAAAAAAAAAAAACCTTCCTAGTAATTAAAACACTCTCTTCATTAATACTGTCAGAATCAGAGTAAGAGTCAAAGAACATTTATTAAGCACCTACTACATGCCAGGCATTGTGTTAAGCGCTAGAGATAAAAAGAAAGGCATAAGACAGTGAAGGCTCTCAAGGAGCTCACAATCCAATGTGGAAAGATAACATATTAAAAGAAGTTGAATAGGGGGTTGGAGATACCAGTGCAGGGCCATGGCAAAGTCCTGCCATGGGAGGGTAATGACCTGAGGAGGTGTGAGTTATAGAGTTGATTTCATCTTGCAGGATGATGAGTTATGGAGATCAGGAGGTCCAGGATGGCTACAGCCAGGTGGGAAATGATGATATGAATCCCCTGGGCACCCTCCTTAAGTGGTGGAGGATCTGGGAGGAATTCTCAGATGCCCACCTCCCACTCCCTCCAATTAGAGTGAAGAAAAGGCTCTAGGGACAGTGGGTACTGAGGAGATAGGAGTTCCATAGTTGATTTCATATTGAACATTGATGAGTTTCTGGAGATCATAAAACCCAGCAGAACAGCTGGGTGAGAAATGATGTAACGAATTCCCTGGATGCACTCCTAAAATGTCGGAGGATCTGGAAGCAATCCCTTAACTAATACTATGTTGGTCTGGAGAAAGAGTTTGGAAAGAATCACATTTTCCAGTCCATATCATTTCCTACTTTTAGTGGAAAATGCATCTCTAAATGAGTAATTTTGTGATAAATCAGTATCTCTGTGAGAAAAGAAAAGGGTCTATCTCAGATGTGTATCAATAATACCTCATATGATTCTTTATTTCTGGAATTCTAGTATAGCAGAAAGCAAAACGTGACTTTTGCTAAGAGAGTGTTGAACATTGAAACTAGTTATGGCAAGGACAGGAGACATGTAGTTAGAGACAGTCTAACTCACCCTTTGTGAATTTGTTTGGGGGGGGGAGGGTCCTGCATATAGAGACAGCAGCATGCTCCCATGTCCTTGGCTAGTATGTGCAAAATATGATTATGGAAGCGTCCCACAGCTCAAGGGCTCATGGTTCCTACACTGAGTCATTAGCTCAGAAGAGGCCCAAAATAGTCAAACAAAAAAACAAAGGTGCTCTTAAATTTGTGCCTGGCCTCGATTTTTTTTTTAAACTCTCTTGAGACAGTGTCCAAACTCTAAGACAGGAGTGGGGAGCCTGTGGCCTCATCCCCTGTTCTAAGATATGCTATAGGTACAGTCCATGGGCCAACATTCACTCAAGGTCTTTCGTTCAGTATTTCATATATTGGGAATTCTTGCATTTATGTGATGAGTTAGCAATTACAGGGGTAAGTAGAATAGGCCCTAACACATTCTCCAAATAGAATGCCTCGGAAGTTAGCAGATTTACCCTCATTGGGGGCATTTGGACAAAGGCTAGACAGCTGCCTGCAGAGACAAGTCTTTTTTAGTTAGAGGTTAGTTTAATAGACACTGAAGTTTTTTAGTGCTCTTCCTTCAGGATTCTTCCCCCACCAAACCCCAAAATTACTTTGTCAATATTTTGTATTTATATGTTGCTTCCCCTAGTACAAAGTAAGTTCCCAGAAGTCACTGTTTCCTGTTGATCTTTATATTTCCAGTACCTAACACAGGGTTTGACACATAGCAGGCACTCGTAAAATGGAATTGAATGCTTGGTGAGTTGAATTCCAGCTCTGAAATTCTGTCATCCTATAGTCATAAAGATGGTGGCCATGAGCCACCGAAACAAACAAACAAACAAAATAAAAAAACAAGGAAATTTGCTGTGGTGGGACGGCACTAAATGTGAGTATCTGAAGTATTATTCATCCTGACTTGGTAATGAAAGAATAGAGCCAAAATATTGGCCCTGGTACTGTAAGGAAAAGAGGCCAACAGCTTTGAAAGGGTGGGCCTCTGATGAGTTTGATGTAATGAGCAAACCCTGTATCTCTCTAATGTGCAGTACCATAAGGGATAGTGATGTTTTAACAAGTGTCCTTAAAAAATCTGAAATAAAATGAAAACCAGAATTCTACAAACAAATATTTATGCTCCTGAACCCCAGGCATGAAATTGAAGAAAATCTTTGTCTGCAGGATTTTCTTTCTTTTCTTTTCTTCCAAAAGGTGTTATATAATCCTCTTTTCACTAAAACCTAAAGCTTTCCAGTGAAAGGAATAACACAAAAGACTGAAGCAAGCAAAGGCCACCAGCTGAAATTTAATTATATTTATTTTTCTTGTACAGGATCAGAGAAAAAAACCAGTACCAAACTCTGGGTACAACAGTTTGATCTGATTGGTTTGACTGCACACATTTTGTATGCATAGCCATCTAAATTAAAAATAAACACTCACACGTATGTCATATAACAAAAGTAAATTAAAAAATTAAGGCACTAGAACATAAATGGATGTAGTGTATTAGGAAACAGTCTTTGTCGATCACCCATTTTTCCCATTTAAAATTAACGCACGATGTCTTACAAACAGCATTATATCATCAAGTCATGTTTCTGAGAACTACATTCTACGAGTGTTACTGGAATAAAAGCTACAAGACAATTTCCCTCCTGTTCCATGTCACCAACACTGATGTAGAACTGTCCTACCCAGTAAGGGTCAACTGTGTGCCCAGGCACTTTGGCACATTCACTCTGTATACTTCCTGTACACCATGAAAATTGTAAAAAAAAAAAAAATTGCATTTCACATCTTTAAATAATGCAGCGAGACACTGCGTCGATGGAATTACAAACATGAAGGTTTTGTCCAAGAATTCAATTCAAATATCTTTTAAGTCAGAAAAGCATGGGAAGAAATACACTTTAAAATCTATGTTTCCCATGCCAAAATTAATTGGTTGCAATGCAGGATTTTCTTTTACCTCATCATTGTTACTTCAAACTAAAAAGAACTAGTACTCTGGCAGTTGCTTTAAAATCTAAGAAAAACTTGTAAAATAGCACCTTCTGTTTAATTTGGCGGGAGGCCTATGATGATAGTCATCTGAAATTATGTACGTAAGAGCTGTTACACTTCAAGTTTTCTAACTTTATTTTTTTCTTTCCTTCCTTCCTTTCCTTTCCTTCCTTCCTTTTTCTGCCTTCCTTCCTTTCTTTTTCAAACAATGTTTTACATGCCATTAAAAGAACACTCTACTTGGCTTTATTTAAGTGATAACACAGTATTGATCAATGCTTTGCTTTATTCTGGGGAAAAATGTAATTTCCTTAATAATAAATGCTCAACTAGTTTCTCTAAAAGAAAAGAAAAATTCACCTAATATTTAACAATTCCAACTATAGCATACTAGAAAATTCATTTCTGAAAACAGACTCCGTAAATCCCCAATGTGCTAATCATGTCTTTAAAAAAAAAAAGGGCAATGAGGGATAGCTATTTCAGATTTAATTTGATAACCTGAAAACAAGTCTTAAAGAGAAAAAAAAAACTTTTAAAAAAATACAGTAACACTGCTTAGCCTTGTTAGGTCCCTTGTTCGTTCAAAAAGATTGTTCCCCTCTTTTTGCAATTATTTCTAGCAAAAGAGGAAAAAAAAACCAGTGCTCCCTTCAATTTGGTGGAGAAAGAAATATTGCCATCCAGCTGCTCTCTTTGACCCACCCCCACCCCACCCCTTGGGTGTGGGAAGGAAAAAGTGGGACAGAGAGTGAAGAAAATAACAAAGAAAAGGAAGGGGGTGTTGGGAAAAGGAAGAGTGAGAATAAAAAGGGGGAGAGATGGAGATCATCAGACAAACATAGAGAGGGAGGGAGGGAGGGAGGGAGGGAGGGAGCCAAAAAAAAAAAAAACCAAAAAAGAAAAATCAAAAAAAACCAAAAACAAAACCCAACTACTATTTATTTAGAAAAAAAGAAATTTCTTTGTTTTGGAAGTAACAGTAGTTTCCTCCTCAATCTTCTTATTCCCTCTTTTGTCTTTCTCTCCAATGTAAAGTGCACCAAAGTAGTTTGTTTTTCTTTTTTTTTTAAATATAATGGAAAAATCTTTTGGTATAAAAGTTATCATAGAAAACCATTTTCATAAAACTCTGTTGACATTTTCTATTTGGGCACCTATCACAAGAAGGTCTTCTCACCTCTGGGGCATGATTACATGTCTGTCCCTATCCATTTCCTGACTTTCAACCTTTCCATATTTTTTCCATAACATTGCTACTTGAACTCTGACCTTTTTACCTGCTTTCTTCCCAACAAGATAAAAGATAGTCTGTACTTCTTGTATCTAATACATAAGAAAGAATCTGAGTTAACAGACCCTGAACAAATAAACACTTAAATGAGTGATCAGCCTCCTTTCTTTGCTAGAAGCTGAAAAGTCCTAGCTCAGAGACTGGAATTAATAATAATGCCTTTAAAAAGTAATGCATTTTGTTAAATTTAAAAAAAAAAACAGATTAAATTCATAGATTATAAATAATGACAGTTCAAAAATATTAAAACATTTGAGGACGTCATTGGCATATTTGGGGCGCTGAATGCTAGCTATACTTTATGCACTCTCAGTCCTAAACATCTCAAAAAGAAATTTCTCTTGATTACATGAGAGGTATTGAGTATATGTGATATCATGCCTTTTATACCAATGGTAGCAAGCAAAAAGGTTTGGATAATAGAATTAGCAGACAGGGAATAGTTTGACTGAATTCAGAAACATTTGCCTCCACCATGTACTCTCCCCATAAAGCAGGCATTTGTTTACAGGTCATTCAGCTATCGGTTCTTTCCCGATTACAGTTTCATCGATACTGTCTGTTTCAATTCGTTATTGTCTTGGTAACAAGACCCACAAGGCTTAAAAAAAAAAAAGGCATTCTATAGCCAAGTTGTATATTGTGCCACACTTTTCTACCCTGATATATTTTAGGATTAATCTCTCAAAATAAAAAAAAAACAGTTGCCACAGATAGCAAAAAAAAAAAAAAATTCTGTTGCTAATTATAATCGGTTACAAAATTACAGTGAGTGCTTAATAAAAATAAACATCAAAATCTGAGTTGCATTTTATTATAATTGCATGTCGTTTCATTCCACTAGTTTGTTTTTCTAGTGGCGGTGGTGGTGGTTAGTACCAATGTGGTCTCTTTTATGGCATCTTTAGAATAAAACAGTTACTAGACAATCTGCTACCTTTGAAACTGGAATTGTTCATTATCTGGAAGCTATACAGTAATATACTGGAGGATAAACTATAACAGTACTGTCTGTGCCTTTGCAAATATAGGATAATAATAATTATTATCATAGCCAGCATGGGTTCGAAGCTACTCTGCATTCCATACAGTACTATTTGACTAACAATACAATGATTTCTTGAAAGCTCAAGTTAAATAGAGTTTTATTTTTTTTACTTTTGTAAAGCATTTGGTACTATTGTCATAAATATAGCTACTGACCTGCACTTTGGGACTAATCTGGTGCAGGGATCCTGGCTGAAGCCGTCACATCAAACTCTGTTTTTTTCTTGTTTATTGGCTTTTAATTTAAACTAACACCCACAAGTTTCTTCATGGGCCAATGAAAAGAGAGAAAAGATAAAACAATTCTGCAATTTCTCCCTGAAATCTGGGCTACAGGCATGCCTCAGCCAGTATGTTGTAGCAAACAGATACAGTTTAAAAGTAAAGAGAAAATATACATTTATATAATTAGACTTAAGTTCTTGTCAATCAAATCCAGACAACAATTTCAACTGACCACATCGATGTAAAAGAGTCATTGGAAATCTTGAGCACTTTCTGGGCTCCATCTCTTTTCCAAAGAGGAGAAGGAAATGGAGGATGCGGGGGATGAGCTGAGCCAAAGCCAAGAGCTCAGATTACAGCCAGGTCAGGAAGGGCTCACTTTTGTTAAGGACAGACTCCACGTCGTTGAAGATCGGGATCAGGTCGTCTGACTCCAAAGTCCCAAGGTCAACATTTGTTCCAGGAAGACAGTCAAGGAAGTCTGGGAAACGGGTCTGCTGGGCAGTTAGAGTCATCGGTGTCTGTCCTACGTTTTCCCCTATGAAAGAAAGCAATTGTCAACAACAGCAAAGCTTCCTGAAGAACAAAGTTTAATAAAAACCTAAGTCCAATTTTTACTAGAGCTGTACTGACATCATGGCATAGTAATTCTAGAGCTGAAGACTTAGAGTCAGTAAGACCTGGGTTTTAATCTCACCTCTTATACTTCCTAACTGTGCAATCTTGGGCAAGTCACTTCATATCTGCAAGCCTCAATTTCTTTACTTTAAAATGGACATAATAATAACTCAGAGTAACTACCTTATATGGTTATTGAGAGGCTCAAAAAGGAAAATCAATATGAAAAGAGCTACATAAATGTCAGACATTGTTATTATCGTTCCCCTCAAAAGAAGTTAACTTCTTAAGGATGCTAGAGTGCGGCACAGTGGAAAGAGGACTAGCTTTGGTGCCTTGAGGATCTGAGTTCAAGTCCTGACTCTGTCACCATCAATCTATATGACAGTGGGTGTTTCATTTAACATCTCTGGGCCTCAGTTACCTCATCTGTGAAAAAAAGGCATTGGAATAACAGTCCTCTAAGGTCCTTCCAGCCCTGAATCTATGATTTTGTCTTCATATTCCCAGGACCTAGCAAAACATCTTGTATATACTTTTATGTTTATTAAATGATGTTTATTAAATGATTTTGAATAAATTAATTCCCTATATTAATGGAGCAAATATTATGTCTGCATCACACTAAAATCAGACTATCAGTATTGTGCACAAGAGCTCCAGAGTATGTATATCAATTTTGTGTGAAATATATCTCAAGAGACACAGCCCTAAATGGACAGATGAAATCAAGAGAGAACCCAAGAGCATGACATAATAAATGCCCAGTGGGTATCAGCCCTGTGTCTGGTCCCTTCAACTATTCATCTTTTTTCTCTCAGTATTGACAAAAGCCAGTAAAAATTGCCTCCTGGCACGCCACCCTCAAAAAGTTAGGGGTGGGAGGGAGGTCACCGAATAAGTCAACAGACTTTTAAGTGCCAAGTGCCCTCATTCTCTTGGTCTCTGAGGACCTCCGTGGGCTGTGGCAACTGCCACCGATCCCCTTGCTTCCTCCCCTTCCCATTCATTTCCCCTCTGCCCCTTTCCATCAGCCACTTCTGCAAGATTCTGGAAGAAGAAGGTGAGGCTAGAACTGTCCATACTGTGTGTACAGCTCAAAGCAGATCAGACTTTCATTTAAGGAATTTTTCAAAGGCTGACATGTTTTTCTTATTAGTAGATGAAGCATTAAAATGTCAGCTCCTTGAGGACAGGGACTGTCTCATTTTCATTGTTGTAGCTCTAGTGACTTGCACAGTGCCTAGCATATAGCAGGTACATAATAATTGCTTAATGAATTGAATCAAACATCTCCATCCATCTGTTCTCCAAATAAATGTAACATCGGTCTTGAAGCCCTCATAGTGTACCCACCCCAAATTCCACAGAAAATTTTATCCTGGTGAACTGGAATCTGAGGCACTGAGTAACAAGTTCATTTGAACCAGAGGTCAGTCAGTTTCATCTCCAAACATTTACAATCACTTCCAACTGTGTAACAGACTTCCTAAAACCAGATCCCACTAAAATGTCACTTGGCTTCTAGAAAGCCAGCCCGAATAAATTGAGCAAGCTCTTTTCCCCTTCTTTATTTCACCCACCAAGATGTTTACCAGGCTCCAGCAGAGACTTCTAGTTCCTAAGACTTCTGCTTGGCCCTGGAACTCTGTGCTCCAGATGGCCTGTTCTGACATCCAAAAATGTCTTCCTTATTGCCTTGACCATAGAGTCTCTTTCAAAATTCTCCATGTTACCCGTGGTCATAGGGTAATTCATTAAGCACCTTTAGGAAGCATTTTCTTTGGGTGGAAACAAGTGAAAGGTCTTGGTAATTTGGGGCAAGCTGGGTTTAACATAATTTCAATTTGGGCAGGGGAGAAATATTATCGTAGCAACAGCCTCCATGATGGAACAACCATGACACAGGTTAGGGGCACGCATTCTCCTTCCCTACTAACAAAGGTTAACTCCATGTTCAATAAAATTTTGGCTTCACAAACTGTGTATAGGCATGTAGGGAACCAGGTTGGCTATCCACTTAAAACGTCATTAAAACCTTACTATGATGGCCCATTATGGTGCAAATATGGCGCTAGCTTCTCCAGGGTGCGCACAGGCTGATGGGTCTTGCTGGCCTAGAGAAGATTTCATTATGGGCCTAGTGTTAGTCTACATATCTGTTATCTACAAACCAGACTAGCTTAAATTCAGGGAGATACATGATCATAGAGCGCCACAGAAACTCTTGGAGGCATCTACTAAGCTTAATAAAGGAGACACAATATGTTGGTGGAGGGAATGTGAGCAGTGCTGAAATTTTAAGTCTTGGTAGTATGGAAGTCAAAATCCTGACTATAATAGAAACAAATATGTAATTTGCATGCATCTATATTATTAAGCTATCATTTATTATTGCTTTTTGAATCTTCTTGTGCTTATACTAAAAGACACTGGTACGGTATATTTTATAACCCAGCCCTATCTTGGAAGCACAATGTGTTACAAATATATGAAAAAGCACAACATAGAAACTCAAACACATCCAAGACCGACAATGAACTGTGTGAAAAGGCTTTAAATAACCGTCTTCTTCTTCCTACCTGTGTCCATCTCGTCTACGTTGCCGAGGAAATCTTCAGGAGTTGTCGGGATGCTGTAGCATCCTAAGCCAAGGCCACTGTCTGTACTCTGCTCCCTGGAATGGTACGGTCCGCTATAAATGAAAATAGGGAAAACTCCTCAGTGTCATCCCTCTGCATGGAATCTCAATGACAAATAGAAGAGGGCAAAAGAACAAAATTGGAGTTTTATGAATCAGTCTGAAAGTCACTGTGCCCAACTTTCAGCCCACGTTTCTCCTTTTCCAGTTCAAGATAAAGTTCCCCCAAACTTAAAATTCAAATAAGTGATAATCAATAAGTAAATGTAAGAGCCTTTCTCAAGGGACAAGACAAATTGGTCATTTATAGTAATTATTGTTCTATTTTATACACAAATTCATTCCTTTTCATTTCAATATAACTTGAGCTTTTAAAAAATGTTCTTAATTTTTCTGCTTTTACTGTTGTTTCAATTCGTTTTTTTAATAACACATAATTTCTCTATAAAAGTTATTAATATTCTGGTAAAAGAAGACAATAGGGACAAAAAAATAAATGAGAAATAGGTCAAACATGACCTATGTTTGTAGTTGAAAAGGATGCAGAATCACAGAATCTCAAGAGTTATAAGAGATTTTTGAGATCTATGGTCAATAGGCAGTTCTGTATTTTAAAATGACCAACTTTCCTTTCAACTCTGCCTTTCTCTTTCATCCTTTCCCAGTGATCCTATAGTTTGCATGTAATAATATGCTATTGTCTTCTTGGTTACAGACATTATTCATTGGCATGATTATGATTCCATTTTATTGATCAATTCAACAAATATATTGAGTATATACCATGTGATAGTCACTGAAAATACAAAGACCCTCCCCCCGCCAAAAAGTCCCTAATCTCAGCTTATATTTGATGGGGAAAGGGGGAGGGGGCAGGAAGGAAAGAACACAGCAAGCTTACAAGAAAATTCAACAAATACGTGGCAATATTCCCTCCATTGAAAATGTAAGAACTTTTCTATTCTTATGGTCTTGACCCTACAATGGAAGGTCTGACCATTTGTTCACATCCTGTAACCAATGTGAATGTGACATTTAAATGAAAGTGAACTTCCCTCCTCTCCAACCAAGTAGGCCCAAAAAGAAAAGACACTTTACCCATTGAGAAAAGGATCCGAACTATTATTTGTTATTGGTCTGATTTCCTGGGCCATGGCAGGTGTGTTCCCAGAAGCCTGAACAGAGGCCATTGTCTCCGATTCCATAGGAAGTTGTCGACACAGAGCGGCTTCCTGCACAAAGGTGAAAGTCAGAGGAGGAAATGAGTTAGCCATATTCCCTGACAAGACAGCACAACATACTACGTAAATAAAAAGGGGTTCCAACCAAGCAGGGAAAAAGCTTCTTCTTTGTCTTGCTTCAGATTCATAATCATTAGCATTACTTCTCAACAACCCTTCAATAAAGGCATTGTAGATGTAAATCTAGGCCCAATAGTCCCTCAGGCAGCAATGGCTAGACCTCTACCCCCAAGTGTCCAACTGCTCAGGTATCCCTGTCTTAGAACTCCTACTTACTAAGGTCACTTCTAGAGATGGCTTTCCAGATCAAATCCAAATCAAAGTTCCATTCTAAGTAGTAGAACATAATTCTTTGAAGGCAAAGGTGATTGTTTTTTTTTTTCCTTTTGTCTTTATCTTTATATATATATATATATATATATATATATATCTTACAATATATATTACCTTATATATCTTATATATAGTCTTATATCTTATATATATGTTACATAAGATATATATCTTATAATAATCTTTTATTATACATGTAGATGTATAATAGCTGTTGATTAAATTGAATGGAATTTGATTGGATAGACTGAAAGTCATTAATTTCCTTTCTGTCCATGCTATTTACAAGACAGTAAAAATTTTAATTTACAGCAGAATAAACCTAATGGCTATGTGTTTTATGACATCAAAACAGTATCATTAGGTGACCCAAAAAAAAAATCAATGACTGATTTTTAGATTGAATGAATTGAATGGGCATGGTGAAGACCCAGCTGGGAGTCCTGTTCCCCATTACACTTTGGAGAGGTCATGAATAACTATCATAAAAGTAGCACCACTAAGCTACACTGTTGTCTTACGGAGAAAGAGTTACAGAAGCCAAAAAAAGGTTTTGTATTCCAGGAAATGTCAAGTGATACAAAGGGACAGTAAGAGTGATAGACTGAGAAACCAACAATCTGGGTTCTATTTCCAAGTCCCCGATGGCTATAAAGGTTACCCTGGACAAACTGTTTATTTCCTCTGAGCCTCAGTTCCCTCACCCATAAAAATAGGGGGTTCGACTCCATGACTTCAAGTCCCTTCTAGCTCTGAAATGCTATGATACCATTTTTACAAAAGTGACAGGATATTAAAATCATATGGTTATATGTAAATTCTATACTAGTAGTAGTAGTTGCATCAGTAGTAATAGCATTTATATAGTGCTTTATTGTTTATAAAGATCTGGACAAATATCCCATTTTATCCATACAACAATCCTTAGAGGTAGGTGCAATTACTATCCCCATTTTACAGATAAGGAAACTGATATGTGTGGACATATTGTTTAATGCCTCCGGATCTCAGTTCCCTCATCCATAAAAACAGGGTGTTCGGCTAGATGGCATCAAGTCCCTTTAAGCTTTGAAATGCTATGATGTCATTTTAACAAAAGTAAAAGAATGTTGAAATCATGTGGTTATCTGCAAATTCTATAATAGTAGGAATAGTACTAGTAGTAGCAGCATTTATATAGTGATTCATGATTTATAAAGAGCTATTGAAATATCTCATTTTATCCATACAACAACCCTGGGAAGTGGGTGCTATTATTATCCCCATTTTACAGATGAGGAAACTGAGGAAGGCAGAAGGTAAATGACTTGTCCAGGGTCACACAACTAATAAGTGCCTAAGGCCAGATTTGAATTGATCTCCCCGACTAGGTCCAACACCCTGTCTTGTGCCACCTAGCATCCAAAAGTTAAAAGAACACTATAAACGTGAATTTTTTCTATCGAACAGGGGAAAATATTATTGGTTTATTGCTGTTACCAAACCCTAGCTTAGAACAGTCTATTTTTATCTCTCTTGTTTACTGATTTTCCTCAATTGATACTATCTTACATCCTGAAATCATTGTTACAGCTCAAAGTCAGCCTATTTCAAGATTATCTCATGTGGTGGTCAAACGTGGTTATACCACAAATGATATACGACAATGTTCTTATTAGAGAGTGGTTTCCATATAGCCAGGGTTCGTTGCGACCACATGCTATAAATGACTTCTCTCTCTAATGGCACTCATTTTATCACTCCTGTGAACAATAGAATCCTCATTAATTGAGCCTTTTAGACACTAATTTTTCATAATAAATCTGATGAGATAGGGATGTATGGAAATTGGGCAAAAAAACGTGCTAGAGAAAATTATCATTTATTTGGAATCCAAATAACTGGAAGACTAAAAGAATCTAAATTCTGGTCTGTGATCTATTTCTATGGAGAATGAAATAAATTACACGTAAATATTCTGTTATTAAATGACTGCCTTATCTGTGACATAGTGGACAGAAAACTGGCTTTAGAGTCAAGAAGACCTGAGGTATGCACCTCAGATGCATACCGGCTATGCGACCCTGGGCAAATCATTTAAACTTCTCTGTGCCCCAAGCAAAGGTATAGATATGCATTGGTAAAAGAAACTTCTTCATTGGGAGTTCCCTATAATAAAGATATCACAGGCCCCAGTCTATTCCAGCCACATGGGATGCGATGTTAGGTGGTGGGGAAGAAACAACAAGGAAAAAAAAGCATGGTCATTGACCTCACATAGCATTTACAGTATAATAGACCAAAAAAAGCAACTTTCATGCAATGAGGTCAGTATAATTTCAGCCCAATTTCCTGTAACGTCTAGGTCTATGGCTTTGTATAACATTCTACTTAGTAGGTATAAAGAGAAGGAAAGAAGGGATGTGCTGCTGTCTATCCATCTTTATGTCGTGCCTCCTGCCTCCAACTTGGTTTTCCTGCTCCTGCCTGGGGTTCTACACTTTGGTGAGAGGTCGCTATAACTTACCAAACCCAATCTCATTAATCTACTGCTTTTCTGCCATCTTGATCACCCTTTCACCTGCCCCAAATTCCTCCCCTCCCCCCATCCCTTCCATCGCCAGCTTTGGGAACAATAACTAATCAATACCACCATTCTTGGAAAGTACATATCAGTCTACTCCCTATGGTACCACTCAACAACCCTTTGACTCCCCAGTCCAAATTACCCCTCTCTGGCCATTATTTTCCCTCATGTGTGCTATCTTTCTTTATTAGTATATAAGCTCCTTGAGGGCAGGGAGTGTTGTTTTGAATTTATCTCTCAGCTCTTACCATAATGTTTGACACATATGCTTAATAAATGCTTTTTCTTTCATTAATTCATTCATTCACTCACTCATCCATTCATGTGCCTAGCCCTGATGTGAGATGCCCTGGATCAACTCTCATAGCTCTCCATTCTCTTCCCTTAATTATAATGTTCCTTTTAGATAAAGTTTTTGTTTTGAAGATATATTCAAGTTCAATTATCTGCTTGAATCAAGTTTCCAAATAGCCTTTACCCTTATTTACGATGTCCTCATTAAAGCGGATACTACATTTGGCCTGTAGAGGGCTCCCTTTATTAATATAGAAGGCTTGCCAAAGATGACCCATTAAAATAGGGAGGAAACTTTCCCCAGTACCAACGATCCTAAAGAAACAGTTTGGCTCATTTATCAATCAGTAAACACTTATTAAGCACCTACTGTGTGTTAGACACTGTGCTAATCCCTAGTTTAGCTAGTCTATCAGAGCTGGCAAGGTACTGTTCACCACAGACACTTTTTCAGAATTTCAACACTAGACAATTTTCTGGAAGTCATTTTTAACCTCAGCCTGAAATTCTGACCTGAATTAACTAAGACAGAAACCATTTGGAGCAGTATTCCTCATTCCTCCGTGGTGTTTACTCCACATTTCCCACTTGTCTGCAACAAACTCCTGGGTTTTGAACCCAATGGCTTATTTTAAATGGAATCCAAAGGAGTGGATTTGCCAGACATAGTCATCGAGACTTCATTTTCTAATAATTCTTTATCATGTAGCTTTTTAGAGTAGAAATATGACTACAGAGCAACAAGACTGACATTTTTATACAAAAAGGACACTTGTCCTCTTTAAAGATACTATGCTCAATTATTCCAAAGAATACTAAACTCACTTTCCAGGGCCATGTCCACCAATGGTCAGCCTACCAAAGACAAGACCCTTTCCTGCAATCCAGCTGTACTGGCATACTTGTTGATCTTCACACAGGACAGCAGCACAAATTCCACTTTCAGCAGAGAGCCTTTCTTGCTTTCCCTAGCTACTAGTGCCTGCTCCTCAAGCCGTGACCCCATTTGGGGTTTTCTTGGCAAAGATACTGAAGTAGTTTGCCATTTCCTTCTCCAGCTAATTTTTACAGATAAGGAAACTGAGGCAAACAGGGTTAAGTGACTTACCCAGAATCACATAGGTAGTAATTGTCTGAGGCCGGATTTGAACTCAGGAAGATGAGTCTTCTTGATTCTAAGCCCAGTGCTCTATCCACTAAGCCACCTAACTGCCTTCTGAGATTACCTTCCACTGACTCTGGAGAGAACTTATATGTACCTAGTAATTTACATGTTGTCTCCTAGAAAGTGAATTCCTGTACTTTTGCCTTTCTTCGAATTCCCAGACCTTAGCACAGTGCCCAAATCACAATAAGTACTGAATAAATGTTTGTTGACTGACTGACAATAACATTGCCAATACTTAAAAGAGTTTTGGAACTCAATGCTTGCAAGTATCTTCAGGGACCATTTATGACCCATAGAAGTCTCTCACATTGGAGGCAGAGCCTGTTTTGAATACTCTTGGGTTGATCACCCACTGTATTCACCACATTGACAACAGCTCTTGGCAGCTTCCAAAAATCCAACCAGTCTCTAAGGAGTGGAGTGCTAGACTTAAGAGACATAGATGACCTGGGTGCAATCCCAACTCTGGCACTCAATAGTTGCGTGACCATGAGTTAGTCCCTTAACTTTTTGGGGTTTCAGTTTCCTTGTCTGTAAAATGGAAATAACAATATCTGAGGCACCCACTTCTCTGTTGTGAGGTTCCAGTCAGATAAGGTACTTTATAAGTTTTATACGGTCATATACATG